CCCTGCAGCAGCAGCAGCAGCAGCAGCAGCAGCAGCAGAGAAGAAGATATAACCAAACGCGAAGCAAATAAAGCTGCAGCAAACCAGAAATGCAGTGATGAGCTTCCTGTGCTACCGTTCCTCTGCTGCTGCTGCTGCTGCTGTTACTGCTGCTGCTGTTGCTGTTGCTGTTGCTGCTGCTGCTGGGGTGTCTATGCACCTCTCGTGAAGCTGCGGATTGCTCGCTGCAGCGGCATCAAATATGAGGAAGCAGCAAATGCATGCATAAGTGAATTCAGACGGCTTTGTATACAGCGACGACCGAGAGAAGAAACAAACAAAAGGACCTGCATATACACCCCAACGCATCAAAGCAGCAGCACGTTGCAGCAGCAAACACAAATAAATATGCAGCGCACGCCGCCACTTCGGAGCGAAACAGCAGCAGCAAATCGAACAGCAGCAGCAGCACCACCACCACAAACAAAAACAGCAGCAGCAAAAAGATAAACAGAAGCCCCGACAGCGAGAACAGCAGCAAAAGTATAAACAGCAGCAGCAGCAAGAGCAGCAAGAACAGCAGCAGCAGCAGCGTGTGGGTGCTGACGGTCGGCAGAGCAGCAAGAGCAGCAGCAACAGTTTGCCTCCTCATTAGAAAGAGAAGTAAATAAATAAATATAAACAAACAGCATACTCCGCGTACACCACAACTGCAAGACAGCACAACAAACAAACAACAAAAAGAAACTTCAGACACTGCAGCAGCAGCAATTGAAGCAGCATCAGCAGCAATGCAACCAGCAGCAGTAGCATACAGCAGCAGCAAATCGAACAGCAACAGAAACAAAAGCAGCACCAGCAAAACCACAGCAGCAAACCCAGCAGCAACAGAAACAACAGCAGCAGCAAACCCAGCAGCAACAGAAACAACAGCAGCAGCAAATCCAGCAGCAGCAGCAGGCTAAAGAAAGCCAAGAGCAGCAATGCATGCATGCATGCATGCATGCATGCATGCATGCAAGAAAGATTGAGATGAATATACACCTCAAATACTCACAAGCCCCAAGATGAAGAAGCGCAGCACTGAAGGAAGAGAGACAAAAGTAAGGAGACACTGCAAGCTGCACTTACGCGCAGCAGCAGCCAGCTGTCGCTTGCTTCTGCCTGCAGCAGCAGCAAGCACAAACGAACGCAGCAAAAGAATAAACATTACACCAAATATTACTCTGAGGCACCACCTATATGCATGCATGCAGCAGCAGCAGCAAACGCAGCAGCAGCAGCAAACGCGGAAGCAGCAAAGGACAAACACCAGCAGCAAATGCAACAGCAGCAAATGCAGCAGCAGCAAATGCAGCAGCAGCAAATGCAGCAGCAGCAAACCCAGCAGCAGCAAGCACACAAGTAGCAGCAGCAACAGGGAAGTAAGAAGACAAAAGGAGACAGATAAAAGAGACAGACAAAGCCCTACCTGTTCAGCAGAAATTTCTGCTGCTGCTGCTGCAGCAAACAAAATTGCTCGCAGCAACCAAGGAGGGACTTCATAAGGAATGAACAGCAAAGGAAATGCTGCAGCACGGAGCAGCAGCAGCGGCACTGCAGCAGCTACTCCTGCTAGCAGCAGCAGCTTCAGCAGCAACGCAACATTCACAGATCTCCCCGAGGTGTACGCGCTGTACTGCAGCAGCTGCAGCAGCACAAACAAAACGCAGAAACACCAACTGCTGCAGCAGCAGCAACAACAAACGAAGCTGCAGCAACAAGAACCCCCAGCAGCAGGCGGACTAGAACAACGCAGCAGCAGCAGCAGCAGCAAGAGAAGCCAGCAGCAGAAGCAGCGAGACCACCGCAGCAGCAGCAAGCGCAGCAGCAGCAGTAAGTGCAGCAGGAGGAGGAGGGTATTGTCTTACTTGTCTAGCAGCAGCATCAGCAGCAAGGACAGTCTTAAGAAACTCTGTCTCTCTTCTATGCACCCTCAGAGCGACATCCACGGGGCTGCAGCTGCATGCATTTGCTGCTAGCAGCAACCTCCACCAATCGTCTGCTGCTAACTCAAAGCGGAGACACTGCAGCAAACCCTCGCTACCCAAGGAAGCAGCAAAGTGAAACAAATTACTCCCGTCCCCCAGGTCGTCCTGCAGCAGCAGCAGCAGAAGCAACAGCAGCAGCAGCAGATGCAGCAGCAGCAGGCGCAGCAGCAACAGCAGATGCACGACACGGAACAGCAGCAACACAAGCAGCACCAGCAGCAAAAGCATCACCAAGAGTAGCAGCAGCAATAGCAACATAGGGAAGATCAGCAGCACCAGTCAGTAGAGCAGCAGCAACAGCAGCAGCAACAGCAGCAGCAACAACAGCAGGCGACGCACAGCTACTGAGAAGAATCCCTTAGGTGCAGCAGCAGCAAGTCTCTGGAGAGCAGCAACAACAAACTGCGGCACGTCTTCTGCGTCTTGTGGTGTTTGTGCTGCTGCTGTTTTCGCTGCAGCATTTGGAGCTGTTGTTGCTGCTGCTGCTGCTGCAGCACTAAGGGGAGTCTCCGCCAGCAGCAGCCGCAGCAGCAGGAAGAAGTTCTGCTGCACTGCAACAGCTAAAGGGTGAGGAGACAGTTCGAACTCCCAACCAGAAGGTAATGTCTTGTTCTCCGCCAGCAGCAACTCAACCGTCGTCAGGCTGCTGCTGCTGCTGCTGCTGCTGCAGCAAGACACACACCCACGCATACACGCGCACACAAGCATGTGCTGTAGCAGCAACAAGAGACAGAGAAAAGCAAGAGTTATATTTTAGCAACAGAGACAAGAGAGAGAGAGACTGAAGCAAGCGCCAAAGTAAGGAGCTGCAGCAGCAGCAGTAACAGCAACAGCAGCAGCATGCAGGGTGTGCAGCAGCAGCAACAGCAGCAACAACAGCAGCAACATACAGGCTGTCTGCTGGCTTGAACTGCTCGGCCCAAGGCATATATCTTTCAACAGCATCAGCCAGGTACTGCTGCTGTTCCTCCCGCAGCAGCAGCAGATTGCGCTTGCTGAGCAGCAGCAAACCTGCTGCTCTATTGAGAGATTCAAACAGAGCAGCAGCAAATGCATGCAGACAACCCAGTAAAGCCAAGGCACGGTGCTGCAGCTCCTCAGCAGCAAAAGAAGATGAGCTCCCGAGTGTATACTCATCCTCCTCTCCTGCTGCTGCTGCTGGTTCAGCTGCTGCTGCTGCTGCTGATTCTGCCGCTGCTGCTGCTGCTGCTTCTCCTGCTGCGCATCCCTCTACAGCCACAGATTCGTCACCACTTGGCTGCTGCTGCTGCTGCTTCTCCTGCTGCGCATCCCTCTACAGCCACAGATTCGTCACCACTTGCAGAGGTCCCTGGCCTACGGCTGCTGCTGCTGCTGCTGCTCCTGCTGCTGCTGCAGTTGCTGCTGCTGCTCAGCGCCTCACGCTGCGCTCTCCACAGCACCTCGCCGACTACAGACTGATACGGGGGGAAGAACCCTATTTCTTGCTGCTGCTGCTGCTGCTGCTGCTGCTGATGGACGGAAGACTGTTCGCGTGAGGCATTCCATTCGTTGCTGCTGCTGCTGCTGCTGCTGCTGGTGCTCCTGGCACCCTTAATGTCGTGCTGCAGCACGAGCTGTTGCTGTTGCTGCTGCTGCTGCTGCTGTTGCTGCTGCTGCTGCAGGGCCGCTCGAGCTCTGCGGATGACTCTTAGAAGAAGAAACAGGTCTAAAGTAGAAGGAGACACCTGCTGCTGCTGCTGCTGCTGCTGAACCTTTTCGTCCTCTGCTGCAATATTCTCCCTCTCCCCGCTGCTACTCCTGCACATACCCAACAACTTGCTGTTGCTGCTGCTGCTGCTGGCTGCAGCAGCAGCAGCAGCAGCAGCGCCACTGGGCCTAAAATAAGACTCCAGCTTCTCAAACGCAAACAAAGCAGTCCAGTCCCTGCTGCTGCTGCAGCTGCTGCTGCTGCTGCTGTTGCTGCTGCTCCTGTCTTGCTGCAGCCATTCATCGGAGGTGCTGCTGCTGTCCTGGGAAGGCCCCCCAATCAGCAGCAGCAGCAGCCGCACGTATGCAGCATTAACCTCTTCAGCAGAAGCAGCAGCAGCAGCACGACTCGAAGCAAACCCCAAAATACAGTGAGGTAGATGTAACTGCAGCGGCAGCAGCGCCTGTCTCAGCTGTAAAGACATCAGATCTCCAGGTGCAGCAGCAGCAGCAGCTGCTGCTGCTGCTGCTGCACTGCCGCGCTGACCGCCTCCATTGCAGCCGCGCTTGCTGCTGCCGTGGCACCAGGGCTCCCTCCTGCTGCTGCTGCTGCTGCTGCTGCTGCTGATGCATGTACAGCGTTCAAAGGGGCTTAGGTAGAAGAAAGCATAATTGTCTCCCGGCCCGAACCCCGGAAGCGACCCAGCAGGCGGCGGCAGCAAATCAATAGCAACGTTGGCGCTGCAGAAGCAGCAGCAACGCATACTCCCGTTGCTGCTGCTGCTGCTGTTGTTGCTGCAGCTGCGGATGCATGCAAGTGCTGCTGCTGCTGCTGAAGCCGCGCTACGTGCTGCAGCTGGCCCCAGTCGTCGACCAGCAGCAGCTGCAGCAGCAGCAAAGTTCCCAGTGTTGCTGCTGTGTTTATTTTTCCTTTGTGATGCTGCTGCTCCAACCTGCCGCTGCTGCTGCAGCACCAGCTGCAGCTGCTGCGGTTGCTGCTGCTGCTGCGAGTGGATGAGAGCGCGGCAGCGAGACTTGCATGCGTCAGCAGCAGCACTAAGCAAACGAAACTCAAATAAGGAGACGCCTAGAGCTCTTAGAGACAGCCACCGCAGCAGCAGCAGCTCGCCTCCCTGCAGCCTGTCGCAGCAAGTCAACGACAGAGGACACAGCTCTCCTGCTGCTGCCGCTGCTGCTGCTGCTGCTGCTGCTGCTGTGGGGCTTGACCGCCAGGCCCCGCATGCAGCAACACTACTTGCACAAGCTTTTAATGCTTCAACATCTGCAGACAAAACAGCAGAAAGAATCAGAGGAGGAGGCAAGCAGCAGCAGCTGCTGCGGCGGGCCCCAGTAGCAGTACACACACGCAATGCATCTGGCTGCTCCTTGTTGCTGCTGTTGTTGTTGCTGCTGTTGCTGCTGCTGCTGCTGGTGCAGCTGGCACCAGTAAGGCAGCAGACAGCGCAGAAGAGACAGCGGGTGCGCAGCCAAGACGGCAAGAGACTGCTCTTGCTGTTGCTGCTGCTGCTGCTGCTGCACTGACAGGTGCAGCAGCAGCTCAACAACGACCCAAATGCATGCTGCAGCCTGCTGAAGTAACCCCCCGAAGCCACAGTGTTGCTGCTGCTCCTGCTGCTGCTTCTGCTGCTGCTTCTGCTGCTGTTGCTGTTGCTGTTGTTGCTGCTTCTGCGGTCTGCTGTGCTGTCGCTGCCGTGGTTTAGCAGCAAAGCCGCCAGCGTTGTTCTGGGTGAGGGCCCCGCAGCTGCTGCACCTGCTGCTGCAGCAGCAGCAGCAGCTCTATCAGCAGCAGCAACAGCAGCGCGCAGCAGCAGATCCGAGCGCAGCCTGTACTCAGCTCTCCTTGGGCACAGCTTGATGCTGAGTGAAAGACAAACTGCTGCTGCTGCTTGCTGCAGCAACGACCAAAACGAAAGCAGCAAACTAAGCAGCAGCAGCGGGACACACAGCAGCTTCAACGGTATATACACCGCACGGCGCAGACCTGCTCCCAGCAGTGAACGATGTCTTGCTGCTGCTGCTGCTGCTGTTGCTGTTGGGTATCCTTCTGATGCTTTTGCTGCCGCTGCTTCATTCTCCGCTGGTGCCGGCGCTGCGGCTGCTGCTGCTTCCGGAGTTGCTGCAGCAGTGCCGCCCTTTGCTGCTGCTGCTGCAGCAGCAGCAGCAGCAGAACATAAGGGTACACCCCACAGCCTTGAGCCGTACTCTGCTAAGTCGAAGGCAGCGAAACTGCTGCCAGGAGACCGCTGGCTCTGGGGAAGTGAACGATGAACGCTGCGCGTCATCTTGCTGCAGCAGCTGCTGCTGCAGCAGCAGCAGCAGCAGCAACACGAGGCCGTCCCAGCAGCAGCAGCAGCACGCCGCCAGAAGCACAGCTCAGGCTGCACATTCCCTGGGCAAGCGAAGCGGATACGCGCTGCTGTACTGAAGACCCTTCAGCATGCAAACACAGGTGCTGCTGCTGCTGCTGCTGCTGCTGCTGCTGCTGCTGCTGCTACTGGTGAAGGCAGAAGCCCCAAAGCGAAAGACAAACGCGCAACCTACAGGCTGCAATGCGAGCTACAAATGAAGTTGAAATCGTAGCCCTGAAGCTGCTGCTACTGCAGCACCTGTAGCAGCAACAACAAATGCTGCTGCTGCTGCTGCTGCTGCTGCTGCAGCTATCAGCAAACTGCCCAGGAGGGGGAGCAACCGCTGGGGCTGCTGCTGGCTGGCGCTAATAAAACAAACGAATGCCCGCACAGAAGACCCACGAGATGCTGCAGCTACTCAAGGTGCTGCTGGTCCTGCTGCTGCTGCTGTTGCTGCTGCTGCAGTGTTGATGCTTAGAGTGTACGCACAGCTCGAAAGAGAGCAGCAGCAGAAGTGGGCCAGAGCAGACGCCTCTGTTATTGTTGAGGAAATGATGTAAAGGTACCTGACAGCACAGTGCAGCAGCAACAGCAGCAGCAGCAGCAGCAAGAACTTCAGGAGGAGCAGCAGCAACAAGGAGGGTAGCGGCAGCAACACGTGCACAGCAGCAGCAGAGTATATGCTGAGAAGCAGATTTTTCAATAGGAGGCAGAAGTAAGGAGACGTCAACTGCAATAACCCACCGTGAGGGACAAACGCCGTTGCTGCTGCTGCTGCTGCTGCTGCTGCTGCAGCGGCTGCTCGGGGGGTTGCTGCTGCTGCTGAGCCTTCTTATGCTGGAGGTTTCTGCAACTCTTCTTTAAATCCTTTGATTTTCATCAAGAGGGAAGACCTTATCGGGCGCGAGTGGTGCCCCCACAGCGGTGGCAGGCAGCGGCGGCAGCAGCAGCAGCAGCAGCTGCTGCTGCTGCTGCTGCTGCAATGACAGCGCAAGGAGAGAGGCAGCCTACGCCTTCTCTCTCCCTTTAGAGAGACATCAATGTTGTTTTAATGCTGCAAATAACAAAAGAAACAAAACAGAGCCGCTGCAGTCCTAGTATAGAGAGCAGCACATTCAGACACAAAGAGAAACCCGGCAGCAGCAGCAGCAGCTGCTGCTGCTGCAGCTGCAGCAGATTTGAGGGCTTCTGCAAGCCCCAAAATTCAGCACCAGTAGCAAAAGCACCAGCAGTAGCAGATATAATTGTTTATCTATCTTTTGCTGCTTTGCTAACCGCTACACACAGACATTTCCTCTGCTGCAGCTGCGCAGCAGCAGCAGCAGCAGCAGCAGCAGCAGCAGCAGCAGCA